CTGCTGTAACGTGACACCGTTACGAGTCGTACACTGGTAGCGGAAGAGTTTATTTAAAGTTGTGGTACAGTGTACAGTAACACTGACACACACACACACACACACACTCTGTGTGTGTTCTTTTGTAAGAATTCTGAAGTGTTTGAGGGCTTTTTAATCACCTAAGATATTTAGTCTATTTTTGATGGTTGTGCATATACGTATATATTTTACATATGTGTTTATATACAGTATATGTATATATGGATAATATATAAACATATATGTCTATATATTTATATATTTATATATGGATAATATATATACATATATTTATGTATGTATGTATATATGTATAGAAATAAATTTCCATATATTTGTCTTTTACCGAATGAGTAAACTAAGTATTGTAAAACTGTCTCTTTTCCTCCTCCAGTTTTCCATTACCAGGTGAAGATGCATGTCTTCAGTAAGGACAAACTCAACTTCACAGAGCAGCCAATTATCATTTCTCTGTATGGAACCGAAGGAGAGAAGGAAGGCATTTCCTTTGTCTTGTAAGTGCCTTGTGAATCCAGAATAAAAATTACAGATGTGCTCTCTGTGAAAACCAACATCTCCTTATTCTTCCCCATGCAGACCAGACATAAACTACAACAGCACGCTGTCTTTCCTCATCACCACTGACACCAACATTGGAGATTTGAGGATGGTGAAGCTGCGCTGGGAGAAGGACTCTCTCTTCAGCTGGTCAGACCTCTGGAGGAGCAGCACATTTCATATTCGGAAAATGCGTGTCAAATGTGGGGAGAACCAGTCCAGGTGAGCTGGACTTACAATTGGCTCTGTTATTGAGAGTGACATTATAATCAAATAATTATTTATTTTATCTGTTCACCATCAGGATGATCCTGAGTTCGAAGGACGATGAGTTCGCATTCCTCATCAGAGGAGGCGGAGATGCAGTGTTTGTCATGACAAAAGACATCACGAGCCGCAGGGAGAAATTGTAAGTCAAGTTTTTGCAGAAAATAACTACTAAATATTTCACTGAAAAATAAAATAATACGTTTCACCTGTTAAAAAGTGACAATATAGATTCAACCTTGCATGTTTTTATTATAATGTAACGTGCATCAACATTTGCTAAATCTTACCTGGTGTGCTTTTTGAACCACTCATTGACTGTTGTGTTTTCCTGTTTCCAGAGGGCACAAGCGGAGAATGAAGGGCACTCTTTTTGGACAGAACGATGCCTGAAGTTGCACTTGGCCCTACAACACCGTGCACATTACCCATGCACCTCCACATCCATGACCAAAGACGAGCAGCGACTAATTTTTCTGCGACCCCCTGTACAAAAACACCCGACCTCGTTCACACTGCGGAAAAATCTGCTTCTTCCTGTCTTTGAACCTGTTCAAATGTGATAATGTGCTCACGGTGTTACAACAGTCAAACTCTTGGTTGCTTCTGCTGCATATCATTGTAATCAACTGTTTTTCTCTTATTAGCCTCTGTGTACTGTTTCTACAGATATTTGTGTCAATTTCAAACTCTGATGCAATTTGTGTTTGTTTGGTTTTTTTTGCTTATGTGAACTTGCATTGTTGTTGCTGTAACAATGATTCTGAGTGACAGGCATCATTTTAGGCACATTTGTGTTTATTTCTTAATGTGCAAGATCATCACCTTGTCCCTAACGCTTACTTTTAACCACTAACTGCCTACAATCATCAGGGACCAAAGAAATATTTACTGTCTACTGAAAACAAATCATGGTGGTTAATGTACATACTTTTTAAATCAGTATTATATATATATATATATTTTTAAGTAAGAGTCATGTGTTTTTTATTTTTTCTCTTGAAGTTCATTCTCTGAATGCATTTGGATTATTGTGTCACTGGTCACTTTAAAAACCTCTTTGTCCCCAGAAACTAAACTTAGAGTCACAGTGTGGAATGGAATGCGTTCTTGACATTTAGATTTATTTTTTAATGAATTGAAACCAGGATCTTTTTTGTGATTTGGTAAGAACTAATTGCACCTAAAACCCTGTTAGTGGTTCAAAAAGAATCTCATATAAAACAGTATAATCTACAGCAAACCATTCTCTAACAACAAAAGGCGTAGTTTAGCATGAACTAGCCTGATAGCTCCTCCGATGGGTCATTTTGTATTTATTAAATGTACATGTATACATTTGTATATCAAGCTGTAATATCTTTTTTGGCGAGCTTCTCTTGACATTTGTGTTTTTGAAATGAAAGGACTGTGATAATTTACCACAGGCTTCAGGGACACAGACCAGACTCTCAATAAAAAGCCATAGAGAGCTTTGACTTATTTGAACTGAAATGCAGTGCACTGTATGAAGAAGGAGCCTGAGAAGGCTGAATAAAAAAAGTAAAACCCTCATTTGAATCTTCCAAACTGCCCAGAGAGGCAGTGTGTAAAATAAAGAAGTCTGTTCAGGAATTGGAAACATTTGGTAAAACTTGTATAAAACATGTTCTTCTTGCACCCGCAGCTAAAAGCATTGTATTTTAAGAAACACAAAACCAACTGTACGAACATTTGACATGAACCACTTCAGGAGACAAAAATGTTAAATCCATCAATCAAACTAATTTAACATATAAAGAATAAATCTTAATAGAATTAAAACTCTAAATAAAAGGTACAGCATAAATCGATGCAGATGATTTATTATTATTGTATATTTAAAAATTTTAATTAGATTCTTAATACTTTATCATTTACAAATGAATACACAGTTACACATTTATATGGGTAGGCTTTGACATGGAAACATCCTTATATGGTGAGGTTAAGTGTTTTTTAATTTTGGTTTAAAATTCATGATACACTGACTTATAGAAATTCTTCTCATTACAATCCAGTGCATTTGCTTCACATTTGTATGCATCTAATTAAATAATCAAATTTTTTCAATTTTTCCCAAACTGGAAAGTACATTACGGAAACCTTATTGCAGTCCTTAGATGTGACACTTAAATTCTCCTCGTTCGATCGCCAACTCTGAGCTAACTGTAACACAACCTGCTTTTCCACGTGTGTCATATTTTGGTTTCATGTCACCAAAGGAACATGTTGGAACAGATGCTGAACATTTAAACCAGCGATCTTCTTGCTGCAGTGGCAAGTGTAGCTCACCATGTAGCCCACCTGGCCTTGGACCCTCCCCACTAATGAATGCATTTCCAGAGGGAATCTATTTCACTCTTACTGTTAAGTGCTATTATATGAATGTTATATTTTTTAGTTTCATAACAGTTTATGAAACTAACTCTAACCCTAACCCTTTTTATGGAAGTTGTTATTGTAGCAGGCTGTCCCCTGTCAATACACCTGTAGACCTGCTAATCCTCAACACATTTGTCTTCTGGAGGTCTGATGGTGTAATGTCCCACAGAGCAGGGCAGTAGTTGTTGTTATGGTTGGGCTGAACTTCTTCAGCAGCATTTTAAACATCTGCAGCCACTTACTGCCCTCTTCCAGTGAATAGTAATAATACTGGATACTGGATTACCACTGGTTGTTATTGCTAATCCAGTTTTGCTAAAAATTCAAAACATATTGTGCAACAGTGGACAAATTCACAGTATATGAAAAGAAAACACAATTCCCTGATGCTTTTGACTCAAGGGTTTGTTTTCTCAGGAAATGTTCCCCCTGTTCTGGAACAGAACTAGTTGAGATATTTAGCAATAGTTTTGGGTCTGGACTTATTCAATAGATGATAAAAGCTGATTCAGTTTTATTGTTTCTGTACCGTTCTGCCTGAATAATGGCAGTTTGAATGATACAGTTGTTGACATGACTGTGGTTCTTACAGTGAAGAGCTGTGAACTTTTATTCAGTCAGGTTCCCATACTGCCACCAGGAAATGCACAACACTTCCAACTTCTGAAGTAACAAAATGTTTTGATGTTTAACATTATTACATAGTGGTACATTTTCCCACTGATCTGAACCAGACCAAATGTTACAAGGTAGCAACATAGCTTTGAGTGAATCCTAAACCAAGTTTTCATTGTTGAACCACTACACTGCATGGGTAGTAACTGCCTTTCTTGACATCAAATGTGTGAAAACCTCAATAAGGGGAAAAAGTTAAAGATCTTGAAGTAAGGCCAATTTTGAATTTGCTAAACCAGTCTGTTGGCCAATGGAACCTTATTTCAGCACAGACCGAGGACCTTAGACCAGATATAAGACATTCTGCAGTCATCTGATTTCAAACTTTGGTTGCAAGACGAAAGTTCTGAAAATAGACATTGCATGCATCATCCATGAGATTGAAAGTTACTGAGAAAAATGTATGATACACAGTTACAAATAAAACCAGTCAGTGCATCCAAAGCTTGTCTGGTGGCTACGTCCATTCTGTATTAAGGTTCTATTATCATGACTAGACACAATGTGCATATTTGTGTTCTTAAAATCATGGTTACATACAGGCAACCTTTAACTGTGACAGCACCTCCTGCTGCCCACTGCCTGTTTGTTCCTGCTCTGTGATGCCATGACAACAGCACATCAGTGAACATGGGCCCCAAAGCCTCCTCGAGAGGCTCCTTTATGTCCAGCCAAACTGCATGGGCCCTGGAATGTCAGAGAGAAAGAGCCATGTAGGTGACCGGTGACACACTCACAGCCCACTGTTACTGATACAGTGCACCAAGGTTGGCTTCATTCAACAACAACAACAACTCACAATCCACCTCAGTGTCATGAACTGAAACTAACTATAAACAATAGTGTGTTGACAGTGTTTACAGTGCAAATAACACAGACTCTGAGAAAAATAAAGGTATAGGAATGTTGCATTTGACTTTTTCTTTCCATGTCACTATTTCACATAGAGAACTTTATAAAATACATTGTGATTTTTCTTTCTGTGTAACTACTCCCATGTTTTGTTTTGTTTTTTAATTTTTTGGCAAATTAACAGCTGAACTTATTTTTCTCCTATTCTTTAATTTTTTTCTGACCTTGACAGAATCAAAAGGAATAAAACGTTACAATGGCGGCAGAGACAATTAATACTGGCAGCCATAGGCTTTGCGACAGTGTAATGATTGACTTTACACATATATTTTTTTCCATTCCCCGCCCGGGGTCAACAGCCAATGGCTTGTCAGAGGTTCTATTTAAGACGCGGCATGTTCAAGGTGGCTCAGATATCAGCGCTCTGCGCGCAACAGGACGCACAGGATTATTCCAAACAGGGGAATATCAGGAACTTCTGTGGGTGCAACAGCTGCCCGATTCTTCCCCAGTGTTGAAGGACACATTTTCTCTAACAGGAATAAGCTGTGAAAGACATGAAAGCTTGGCGAATCCAGTTTCTGTGCTTTCTGGTCTTCGGTGCAGCTGTGCAGTATGTGACGTCCGTGGAAGAGGAGCTCGCTGATTCTATTTTTGGTGAGTTGCCAATCCGATCTCGTCCACCTTCACGCTCATCAAGTTCAATGAGTTTCATGTGCAGTTGTTTCAGTGCGGACAAACGCGGTGATGAGGCGGAGAAACGGAGGGAAACCTTGGCACTTTTACGCACGGCGTTTCAGTGTTAATGTATATTTGTGCGCGTGTAGTTTAAACCCTGAGAATAAAGTACACGGTATTTACAGCCCACTCTATATCACGTGTCTGTGAGGAAATCCATCTTGGTGTTTTTTGACAAACAAATATGTTGTTCAAGACAACAGAGTTGGACTGTTGTTTTCTGCTCTTACATACAACAGTTAAACTAAAACACTTTGTCACTAAATGATGTTTAGAGGAAGTCAAACCCTGATCATAATGTTAACATTGTGGCTCATAAAACACTACAGTCCATATGAGCCTCATTAATGTCTCTGTGGTTCCTACATCCAACCCCCATTCTGAAAATCTGCACAACCCCCAGTGTAGTTGAGTCAGCTGACTGTGTCAAGACCACAGAGAAACTTGTACAGATTATGGAGGGTGAAGGGCGGGAACAAAGCTGTGGGGAGGGGGTGGGTGGGGCCCTGGCTGGTTACTATGGAGCTCAGTCTGACCAAGTGAACTTCTGTAACCCTCAGAACTGATGTGGTCTAAGGTAGAAGCTCATTTAGTGAGGGGCCCTCAGGGGGCAGGAGCTTATTGCAGACAGTCACTCAGATAGTTAGTCAGGCGTCCCCCACTTCCTGAGCAGAACTTTACTTTGTAACATCTGACAGGATGTCAGGATTATTCTTTCTCTCAAAAAAGAAAATGACATAGTGAACCTTAATTCTCCACCACCAGGTAACTTCCTGGATCCTCTGAATGACTTGTTTCAACACAAAGATGGCATCAACGAAACCATCGCCAAGTTCTCTCTGCGCAAACCATCTTATCCGGATGATGACATATGCTACATCATTCCTGGGAATCCTGACTCCCTCAACGCATGCAGCTTTAACAGCACTTCAAAAACGTTCCTAGTGATCCATGGATGGACGGTGAGCAGAGATGTTTGTGCCTGTTTTGACATGCCCTGGGTCTTTAACACTTGGAGCTTTGTTCTTTGTACTTTGTTCTTTGTTTCTGTTGTACTGGGACTTGTAGTGTTTCTTTACAAAACCAGACTCTGGAGTCTCAATGTCATGTCACGTCACAACAGATTTTGGTTAAAATGTAAGAATGTGTGGGAAAACGGATCAGAGCAGCGCACGGACATTGATGTATTGTAACCCTAGCCAACTCCTCTGCTGTGTTCCTCCAGGTCAGTGGTATGTTCGAGAGCTGGGTGTCCCAGCTGGTGGAGGCTCTGTACAACAGAGAACAAACAGCTAATGTTATCGTGGTGGATTGGCTCTCATCCGCGCAGAACCACTACGTGATCGCGGCTCAGAAAACCAAAGCAGTTGGACGGGAGATCGCTCGCTTCATCGACTGGATCGAGGTCAGTGAGAACTAACTTCCTGCCTCTCTCTGACCTTCAGATTGTATCAACCCCTAACGATCAAACACAAGGGAGTGTACTTTAAAGTTTAGACTTTAATTGACTTCTTTTTCAAAAGGAAACCACTCACCTGCCCCTTGAGAACATCCACCTGATTGGCTACAGCCTCGGCGCCCATGTGGCAGGATTTGCTGGCAGCCATGCCACCAATAAAGTTGGACGAATAACTGGTAATCAGTCAACACTTCTTGTTGTTTCTTCTTTGTCATGCAATAATTCAGTAATACTTTCACCTTACACAATGTGTATATTGTTTGTAAAATTTGGGTTTTTTATTTGTTTTGACCATAACTGTCTCTTGTCTCCTGTCTCTTGTCTCTTGTCTCTTGTCCACATCTGCAGGTTTGGACCCAGCTGGTCCAGACTTTGAGGGTGAACATGAACACAAACGCCTCTCCCCGGATGATGCTTACTTTGTGGACGTCCTCCATACCTTCACACGCGGCTCCTTGGGACTCAGCATTGGTATCCAGCAGCCTGTTGGTCATGTGGACATTTACCCCAACGGAGGAAGCTTCCAGCCTGGATGTAACCTCAGAGGTGCACTGGAGAAGATCGCAAACTTTGGGTTATTTGGTGAGGGTCAAATTCAGCTTTTTGGGTCTGTAAACAAATAGGTAGAATAATCAATTAAGGTCTCAGAAAATGTTGGATTAATACAAGATACCAAAACAGGTGGATAGCACAGCACCTCCCCCATCTTTGAAACAAAACAGCTACAAACCAAACCTTCTCCTCACAGGCATCAGTACTATTGCACCAAAACATTAGAACCCACTGCCTGTTTAATTTATACAATAAACAGCCACCTCCGTGTTGAACTTGACGTCTAATAAGTTCCTGCAAGCTAACGGCTAGCAACTGCTACCTTAGATAGCACCATTACTGGTGTAAGAATGAATCAAACACACCTTAGTTCTTAGGGACCAGTTTTAAATGAACATTATTTTTTTTAAATATATTTTTTAAATATGATGTTTTAATAAAAATCTATTGATTTAATGTATGGTTCATGTCAGCACAATTACACATATGAACAGCCTAAGGCTGAAGTCGGCAGCTCCGCAGGAACAACTTGCTACTTGTTCTTAATCAACTTAACAGTGAACATTGTCGCTGTCTGTTGCACAACGGCCTCATTCACACCCCGCTGAAAATAAACAGAGGCCTCAGACATTGCGGAGGAAAGGTCAGTCACACCAACAGTCGCTGTGGCTGAACAGGTTGCTGGGATGGACTTGAGCAAATATGTGACTGGCATAAATGCATATACGTGACTCAGAGTGGACTGAGTCCAACAGCAACATTTGACCACCTGTATGAACTGATGTCATTCAAAATCAAATCGACCCGTCATTTGTCTAGTATTAAACATCCTCCTCCCTCCTCCTTTTCAGCCATCACTGATGCGGTCAAGTGTGAACACGAGCGCTCCGTCCACCTGTTCATCGACTCTCTGCTAAATAAGCAGGAACCCGCCAAGGCCTACAGGTGCGGCAGCAACGACATTTTCAACCGTGGCATGTGTCTCAGCTGCCGCAAAGGCCGCTGCAACACAGTGGGCTATGACATCAGCAAGGTCCGCAAGGCACGCAATGTGCAGATGTACACCAGAACACGAGCGTCCATGCCATTCAGAGGTCAGTGGTCAGTTGTCTTTTTTTGCCCAGTCAAATTGAAAAACAACACAGGTGAACAGTCCACTGGCTAACATGTCCACTAGCTAACATGTCCCCTGGCTAACATGTTCACTAGCTAACATGTAACAACTCTGTTACTGTAGAGGTTAAAAAATATTCGTAGACATTTAAAGCACTTACAGCTTAGCAGTTTCAAATCCTAGTTGTTTGGCTGCAGATTACCTTTAATTCTCTCTGCCTGTTTCTGCTAAACCAACATTTGGATTATTTTACAGCCAGTAACAATACACGCAAGTGTAAACTAATCAGTGTCTTACTTTACAGTTTACCACTATCAGCTGAAGATCCATTTCTCCAGCAAGGTGAATCGTTCAGAGATGGAGCCTTCGCTTACAGTGTCACTGTATGGAACGAAAGGAGAGACTGAAAACCTGCAGCTCAAACTGTGAGTGACTTAAATTATATTTACTTATTTGCTGCCATGACCCACTGGAACCTACGATCCCCCATCACCCTGTCTGTTCTATTTAAATGAATATTTTAATTT